TGCCTGTACAAGCTTGCATTCCCACCAGCAGTGGAGGAGAGTTCCCCTTGCTCCACATCCTCTCCAGCATAAAGTGTCTTCAGTGATTTAGATCTTAGCCATTCTGACAGGTATAAGGTGATATCTCAGAGTCATTTGATTTACATTTCCCTGGTGATTAGGGATGTTGAGCAATTCCTTAAATGTCTTTCAGCCATTTGAGCTTCCTCTGTTGAGAATTCTCTGTTTAGTTCTATAGCCCATTTCTTAATTGGACTGTTGGGATAATTGTTTTGATGTGTTCTTGGAGTCTGTTTGCCAGTATTTTATTGAGTATTTTTGCATCAATGTTCATGAGGGAGATTGGTCTGTAGTTCTTTTTCTTTTTTGCATCTCTGGTTTAGGAATCAGGGTAATTGTAGCCTCATAGAAGGAGTTTGTTAATGTTCCATCTGTTTTTATTGTGTGAAACAACTTGAAGAGTATTGGTATTAACTCTTCTTTGAAGATCTGGTAGAATTCTGCACTGAAACCATCTGGTCCTGAGCTTTTTTTGGTTGGGAGACTTTTAATGACTGATTCTATTTCTGTAGGGGTTATTGGACGACTTAAATAGTTTATCTGGTCTTCATTTAACTTAGGTATGTGGTACCTATCCAGAAAATTATCCATTTCTTTTAGGTTTTCCAGTTTTGTGGAATAGAGGTTTTTGAAGCATGAACTGATGATTCTCTGGATTTCCTTACAGTCTGCTGGTATGTCCCCCTTTTCATTTGGATGCTTTCTCTCTGCCTTTTGGATAGTTTGGATATACACTTGTCTATGTTGTTGATTTTCTCAAAGAACCAACTCTTTGTTTCATTATTTTTTTGTATTGTTCTTTTTGTTTCTATTTCATCGATTTCAGCTCTCAATTTGATGATTTCATGGCATCTATTCTTCCTGGGAGACTTTGCTTCTTCTTGTTCTAGAGCTTTCAGGTGTGCTGCTAAGCCACTAGTGTGAGATTTCTCCAACTTCTTTATGTGGGCATTTAGTGCTATGAATTTCTCTCTTAACACGACTTTCATAAGTTTGGGTATGTGATGTCTTCATTTTCATTGATCTCTAGGAAGTCTTTAATTTCTTTCTTCCTTGAGCCATTGGTAATTCAGTTGAGCATTATTCAGTTTCATGAGATTGTAGGTTTTCTGTTTTGTTGTTGAAATCTAACTTTAAACCATGGTGGTCTGATAGAACTCTGGAGGTTATTCAAATTGTTTTGTATCTGTTGAGATTATTTTGTGGCCAAGTATGTGGTTGATTTTAGAGAAGGTTCCATGGGGTGTTTAGAAGAAGGTATATTCTTTTTTGTTAGGATGGAATGTTCTGTAGATATTAAGTCCATTTGAGTCATAACATCAGTTAAGTCCTTTGATTCTCTGTTAAGTTTTGCTTTGGGAGATCTCTCCAGTGGTGAAAGTGGGGTGATGAAGTCTCCCACTATTAATGTGTGGGGTTTTATATATTGTTTAAGCTTTAGTAATGTTTCTTTTACATATGTGGGTGCCCTTGTGTTTGGGGCATAAATGTTCAGAATTGAAACTTCATCTTGGTGGATATTTCCTGTGATGACTATGTAATGCCCTTCTTGATCTCTTTTGATTGATTTTAGTTTGAAGTCTATTTTGCTGGATATTAGGATGGCTACACCTGCTTACTTCTTAAGACCATTTGATTGGAAAGTCTTTTTCTAGCCTTTAATTCTTAGCTAGTGTCTGCCTTTGAATTTGAGATGTGTTTCTTGTATGCAGGACAAAGATGGGTCCTGCTTTCATATCCATTCTGTAAGCCTGTGTCTTTTTATAGGTGAATTAGGTCCATTGATATTAAAGGATATTAATGACCAGTGATTGTTCATTCCTGTTATTTTTTGGTGGTAGTGTGTGTGTACTTCTCTTCTTTGGGGTTTACTACTGTGGCATTATTTATTGCCTGTGTTTTTGAGGGTGTATATGACTTCCTTAGGGTGGAATTTTTCTTCTAGTGTTTTTTTTTTTTTTTTTTTTTTTTTTGGTTTTTCGAGACAGGGTTTCTCTGTGTAGCTTTGCGCCTTTCCTGGAGCTCACTTGGTAGCCCAGGCTGGCCTCGAACTCACAGAGATCCGCCTGGCTCTGCCTCCCGAGTGCTGGGATTAAAGGTGTGCGCCACCAACGCCTGGCCTTCTAGTGCTTTCTGTAGGGCTGGGTTTGTGCATAAGTATTGCTTAAATCTGGCTTTGTTGGAATGTCTTGTTCACTCCGGCTATGATAACTGAAAGTTTTGCTGAGTATATTAGTCTAGGTTGGCATCCATGGTCTCTTAGTGTCTGCATTACATCTGTCTAGGTCCTTCTGGCTTTCAAAGTCTTCATTGAAAAATTGGGGGTTATTCTGATGGGTTTGCCTTTATAAGTCACTTGGCCTTTTTTCCTTTAGTGCTCTTAATACTCTTTCTTTATTCTGTACATTTAGTTGTTTAATTTTTATGTGGCTAGGGGACTTTTTTGGGGTGTCTAGTCTGTTTGGTGTTCTATAGGCTTCTTGTACCTTCATAGGCATTTACTTCTTTAAGTTGGGATGGTTTTCTTCTATGATCTTGTTGAATATATTTTCTGTGCCTTTGAGTTGGTATTCTTCTCCTTCTTCTATCCCTATTATTCGTAGGTTTGGTCTTTTCATGGTGTCCCAAATTTCTTGGACATTTTGGTTCATGACTGTGTTTTCATTGACTGCTGAATCTATTTCTTCTACCGTATCTTCAATTCCAGAGATCCTCTCTTTCATCTCTTATATTTTGTTGGTTATACTTGCATCTGAAGTTCCCGATCATTTACTCAGATTTTCTATTTCCAGCATTCCCTCTGTTTGTGTCTTCTTCATTTTTCTATTTCCCTTTTCAGATCTTTGACTGTTTTCTTCATCTGTTTCATTGCTTTTTCATGATTTCCTTTCAGGGATTTATTGTTTTCTTCTGCTTTATTTGTCCTTTCCTCCAGTTTTTTATAGTGTTCTTCCCATTTTTGTTTGTGTTTTCCTCAATTACATTTGTGATTTCTTCTATATAATATATGTGATATCCATAAGGTTGCTTTCATCTGCTTCTTCCATTTTTTGATTTTCAGTGTAAGTAAACTGCAAATCTCTTGGTTTGGTGTCCTGAATTTTGGCACCAAATGTAGGAAAACTGTAAAATCTCTGGGTTTGGTGTCCCAGGTTTTGGCACCAAAATGTTAGTAAATTGATGGCTGAAACTGCAAGAAGACAGTTCAGCCCTAGAGGGCAAGGTACCCTGGATACCTCAGAGCTACTTAGGACAAGAGCTCTGTCCTGAAGATGTCCCAGACACCTGAAGCTCTTTAGCACAGCACTGATGGCTGAAGTGGAGACAGTTCAGCCCTAGAGGGTGAGGTATACTGGACACCTCAGACTTTGTTGATAGGAGCTGGTAATCCTGTAATATTAACTCGTTCAGAGTGTGGTTAGAAATATTTTTGATCTGTTTTTGAAGAAATCTAACCCAAAAGTTTATGAGGCAGGGTACAATTAGTAGATCTAGGAAGAGGAAGAAAAGAGGGGATAAGAAAGGTAGCATCCATTTCCATATCTGATTATTAGTGCTCCACTGTCTGGGGGCATCATGCTGTTTCTGATTTTGAAGATCCATCTCGAGTTGTTGGATCTTATATTTCACTATCCCTGATTGATTGACATAAAAGCAACATTCTTCCTCAAGAAAGAGACAAAGACCACCTCTTTCCAGCCAGTGAGTCTATCTGTTCCTGAAGAGTAAAAATGGTCTGGGCTACACGTTGGAAATCCTGGATGAATTGTGAAGAAAGCTGATGGTAAATAGCTAAGGAAGTAGTCAGTCCCACTATTCCAGTGGCTATACCTGTAGTTATACCCAGAGTTGATAGAAAGGGTATTATTTGGATGGCTCTTTTGTCATGCCTTGCTGCTATGAACTTGGTGATGGGAATTGCAAGTGTTCTTCACCAGGTACCATCCCTAATTTAAGAAACAGGAATACCAAGGCACAAGTCCCAGACCACCTGGCATTTAAACAGTGATAAACCTGAGTATCACAGAGAATAGAGGCATTATGAATGTTTGGACATAGGGCTGGGTGTTGGTGCTAAGGGTAATGGTATTATTACAGTCTGCAGAATCCAGAGTACCCACAAAGTGTATTCCTGAGGAGTTAAAGCAGTCTATAATTCCAAAGAGAGGAATGTGAGAGAATAAGGGATAGTAGTGACATTTGGCTTTGAGCAATTAACAAGTGGTAAAATGAATCTAGTAGGACAATGGGTGAGGCCACAAATGGTGAGTGATTATTTGACTCTGGGGGGAAACATTACCAGCATTCTCCAAAGCGGTCAGGCTGAGCATCATTCAGCAACCGATGTGTAGTAGTTAGGGTCTGAGACAAGAGATGGTATGACAAGGAGATTAAATCATCCTCAAATAAGGGTGATGTTAGGGATATGAGAGCCTTTGAGAACTTTAAACCACGTTTTCTACTGTATCTATTGCTAGGGGTTGACAGAGTAGAATGCTTACCCTCTGTATCATGAGCATTCCCGATGGGCAAATATGATATATGCTGTAGTAAAGTTTCCCAATTACTCTCATGTCCCACCTGGGGTGCAATGGGTCCTTAATCTGGATGTAAAAGTTTCCCCATTCTTCATAAAAAGAGGAATGTTTTCTTGAATGTGCATGATGTCTTTTATAAGACCAGTAAGGGCAACCTCCATAGGTTTCTGACCAGTGTTTACAATAATCTATAGTTTGATCATAGAGGAAACAAGCATAAGGGACAGGAGTTCCAGAAATTGATTTTGGTGTTATAGGGACAAATACCTCTTTTTGACAACCTGTAGGTGACCAGTCTCCAAAACCTACCACATGAGTGGTCTGGTTAAACTTCTGGGCATATGTTTCCTGAACCTCAAATTTCCAAATGTAGAGTTCACTAGTGATAGGGGTAGGTAGAAGGAAATAAAATAAGAACAGGTGGGACATGCCCTGATAAAGTTGGGCTTGAATCTTGACAGATGAGTGTGGCCTCATTCTTCTAAGATCAGAGGCAGGCTGTTTGAATTTGGTATCCTCTGAAACATAAGAGGGCTAGGTCCTGTTGGGATCAAAAGATCATCTTGAGTTGGTGGTATGAACAGCTTGAGATGGGAAAGGTGAATCCAATGAGGATTAAGCTTAGCAGCAGTTGGAGTAGCAAGAATTACCTTAGAGGGGCCTGTCCATTTTGGAACAAGAGCAGTAGAATTGTGTTCCAGAGGAGAGAGGAGATCCAGGTCTCCAGTGTTAATTGGAGAGGGAAGAGGACCTGGGAGAGGCTGAGGCAAATGATGCTGGGTGAAATTCCAAAGAAATGTGTGGAGATAGTGTAAAAAAGGAGTAAGGAGATTATCAGGAAGAGGTGATGGTTGAGACATGAGACCAGGTGGCATAATTGGTCGACCATACATGAGCTCAAAAGGGGAGATGAGGAGAGTTTTTTTTTTTCTTTTGAAGGGTCCTTAATTGCAAGAGAGCCAATGGTAGGAATTTTATCCAGTCAGTATGAAGTTCTTGGGAGAGTTTGGTAAGAATGTTTTTGAGGGAACGATTAGTTCATTCAACTTTGCCTGACGACTGGGGATGGTAGGGGATATGGAAATGCCATGGGATATTAAAGGCTTTAGCTAGAATTCAAGAGACTCGAGAAGTAAATTCAGGGCCATTATCTGATTGAAGGGAGGTAGGGACTCCAAAACAAGGAATAATTTCCTTAAAAATGACATCTGACACTTTCTGTGACCTTTTATTAGTGGTAGGGAAAGCTTCTATCCACCCTAAGAATGTGTCTACTAGAACTAAAAGGTATCTCACCATTTAATTGTGGGCATGTGAGTAAAATCAAGCTGCTCTATGGTTTGTTTCCATAATGAAGGTCTTTGGAAGATAATCAGATGATGATGGAATAATTAGTGTGACATTGATGATGAAGTTACAGGCCATATGAAAGAAAGGAAAATAAAATTCTGTTTCTTCTCTCTTTGTGCCAAATGTAAGGATGAAAAAAAAATGAACATTTTTAAAGATCATAAAGATGTTTACCTAATAGCAAATCAAGTGTTATGACATCAGGCTAGAGAGTTACATTACTGGGGCTGCAGTTTCCATTTATTTCATTTTTCATTCTCACTTCATGTAAAAGATAAATATTTCTAGTTCACTTCAGTAAAGAAGATTCAATTACTGGAACACATTTGCCAGAAGACCTCATACTATATACATGACCTTGTATTAATCTGCTTTAGAGAGCAATGACTTCTGGAAGACATCTACAGCATCTCTGAGATATTTGAAGGTCCAGACTGGTGTTTTAGTGGGAAGGATATGTTCATTTTTGTATGCTTTAATCCTCATTTATGTGATCAGTCTTACTCACTTATCAGAAGATGGAACATTCCCTTACTTAAGATTTTGTTTATTAGTTGGCACCCGGGTCTGACCCTTTACACTGGATACTAATGTAGCTCCCTGTAACATCCATGTATGATACACATCAAACAAGTTGAAAATTTCTAGTTTGAGCTATATGTAAGGAAGAACCATATTTATTTCCTGATCACAATATATTCTGATGTAGAGAAGAGATAATCAGAAAGACATCAACATATTTTGTTCTGGTTTCTGTTTCCACTTTCAGTAGTATCTGGATTGGCTAACCAAAATACTGAGTATCTTTAGATGTGTTTTAATTATAATGTGATTTATATTTTCTACTCATATATTGGCCATTTTAAAGTTTTCTTTTGTTTAATTAATAATAGTAGGAAATAAATCACAAACATTTGTTTGTAATTTTTTTGAAATTATAATCTAATTAAATTACCCCCTTCCATTTTCTTCCCACAAGTCCTCACATAAGCACCTCTTCACTCTCTTTCAAATTTATAACTGATTTTTCATTAATTGTAGTTGTATGAATATGTATATGCTGATGGTTTGGGACTACACTTATGGGTATATGGAAATTTTAGAATGTAGTTATTGATTATGCTGCTTTAGTAAACTGGTGGTTGTAAATTCTTCAAGATCTATGATGTCACTACTGTGCAGTAATTAGCTAGGTTTCCAATCACAGGCATGATTTCTATCTTATTGAGCAGGGCTTCAGTTCAATTGGAGAGCTTTTTATTACCACCATTATATGTGTAATATTACTAAACCCTTAGCATTCACAGGCAATTATTTACATTGCTGATGAACTCTACATACTTGTTAATTAAGAGTAATTAGAACTGCAATACAGTACAGTACCTTTCATACACCTCAATATGGAAGGCTGCACATGAAAATAATAAGCACCCAGCCATGTTAGGAAACAAGTGTCTAATTTCAGAATCAGATAAAATATAACTTTATGAAATGTAGACCTGTTCATATGCAAATGAGAGATAGGCATGGAAGAACAAAACATTCAAGTTTAGAAGAATTGCAGGTAAATTTCTCTTTGCCCTTTAAAGGCCTGTGGTGTTGCCTCTTTTGGATATGCTGCAAATAAGAATCTCAGAAGTAAATGAAAAGCAAAGTTTAAATGAATAATATAATTGCTCATAACAGATGATTATAAATGATACATGAAAAATGAATTCAGGGACTATTCATTCAGCTCTTCTTTTTATGATATTTTTATAACTGCTTGTAAAAACAATAACACTTGGCAAGGTGAATCAAGCCCTCTCCTTGTTATTGGACAAAATTGTTCAAATGGCTCTTTTTTTTCCTTATAGGAAAAAATTGTCTGAATTTCCTTTGTCTGAGTATGAGGAAATAAACAGAACAGAAAAATGTTATCATAGAGGTAGGGAATCAAGAAAATACTAACAAATGTCTAAATAATTTATCAGTTATTTCACTTTAGAGAATGTTTGAAAAATAATACCAAAAGTAAATGGAATAAAGTCAAATTACAGAAACAGTACTCAAGATGACTGAATATTTAGAGAGAAGCATAATAGCTAATAAATTTTTAATCATACTAAACTGCTTAACATGATTAGATGGCACTGTACATAGTTGAGCAAATGTTTAGGTCAATCATATGAAATTTATGTTGCTCTAGCCCTATTAAATAACTTGTATTCAGTGACATTCTCTAGTGAAATGGAGTTCTCTCCAGCTTATCGTATTTTTCTGTATACTGAGTCAAAAAAAAAACCCTTTCTGTATATTCCTAATAGAAAAGGCTTCAACGCAGGGGATGCTGCCCTAGAAAACTACTGAAAGGCTCAGAGCAAACATCATTGGAACCTAAAGATGTGTCAACTCCCTCCAGCACTAATGATTGTTTCCCCCTTTATCTTAATGCTTCTCTTTTAGTTCTCATGAATTTGGGAATATCTGTCTTTATCACAACTTGAAACAAATCCATAGGAAAAAGAAATTCTGGCTTGCAAAAAAAAAATTTAGGAAGGGAGTCAAATCTGCTAGATTGCTAAGAAACAGTATGGTACAATACGATGTCTATGTCATCATATGTGTGCTAACTCCACACAATCATAAAATAATATGAATTTTACCATATGTCACTCCTGAACTTCCATTTCAGGGATAATCCCAGTGCTATCTTATAAGCATTCAAAGAAATGCATGTTCTTTGATTGATAAATGGGAAAATCCTACTATGAGAAAGTGTGAAATAAGAACCAATTACTACATCAAGCCAAGAAAGAAATTATACCATCATGGTGATTAGCAGTCAGTAATGTCACAGCACTGTAAGAAGTTTAAATCAGAGACCATTATATCTAACAATCCAGTCACGAGGAGGCAAAATTATTACCTGAAAATATAGTGATGGTTTAATAAATGGAGCATGCAGCCTAATAAAATATGCATGATGAACAAATTGCTAAAACTTCAACAAACATTTGGAAACATCTAGTAACTGTAAGTTTTAATACATTTCCACTCTAGATATTAGCAATTTCTCTTTTCTTCAGCTGGCAGCTGCAAATTCTGTACATGTAGGTCCCTGATATGTCTGCCTCAACTTTTGTGTAAAAGCCATTGCTTTGAAATTTCATGTTGTCTCAGTAGTACCCCTTTTAAGTGCCATTGGTCTTTCTCTTTATTTCTACATTTGATAGGAAATAAAATGTCTTTAGTGCAGCCATGAAAATGATAACATTAATATTTACAGACAATTGGCAACAAGTGAAGCAATCCAACTGCATCAATTCTTGAAATCCTTGTAACCAACCACCCTTTGAGAAAAGAATAAATAGAATGGATAGAATCTGAATGCCAACAGCCTGGCTTTGGAGCCAGGGATTATCACTGTCAGCCTGTGCTGCTTCTCAGCCAGGAGCAGTGTAAGTGTAAATCAAGTGGCATTAAAAAAGCAAAGCTTTTTATCTTTGGGGATTTCATAGCGCAGTTATTTATGCTGTCTCTCCCACCAACTCTAGTGCTTATCTCCATTCAATGACATTTAAAATACTGCTTTATGCTTAAAGTACATGGCCAAATTTTTACCTGTTCCATTTAATCCACAGAGAACCAACAATGGCTTAGAAAATATTTGTGTTGATACCAACAGCACCAAATGTTGAGGATGTCAGCTATATATAATTGTGAAACCTGACTAATGGTAGTAACTGGATGGTTTTTCTTCATAAGTATTTGTATTAGTGAGAATATTCATGGAAATTAAGTAGTTAGGAGAAGAATGGGTGAGAGGAGTATAATTAGGGATGACGGAAAATTAAGTTTAATTAGAACTTTTTGGTGAGTCAGTGTTAGAAGTAGAAGTGGGGATGGTTGATAGGATTTTTAAGATAGCTTTTTAAAGTCAGATTAAATCTAGGAGGTTAGGGGTTGTGTTGAGAAGTATAGTTTCTGACTTTGTATGAACAATTCTATTAGTAATAGTGGAGGTATAACTAATAGTGTTTAGAAGAGTGAGGATGAACATCGTTTATATGAAGTGAGATG